TTTATGTATCATTGTCATTTTGCTTAGTTTCTTTTGTTACCTATTCGGACATCGGACTCGACTTCTTTTAAACTGAGTTTTACTGTGCATATTGCTGTGTGTATTCTACATTGGCTAGAGGTATAGGAGGAGGGTTGAGGTATCAAAACATGTTTACCCCCGCCGCATTTTTGCGCTTGTCCCAAGTCAGGAGCCTCAGGCCTTAGTTAGTCTTGTATGTTTTTTTAATTTTAGTTCATTTATATGTTTTTATACTACACTAAGGATCTAACATTTCTTTTTCTATATAAAAAATAAGGAAATGTAATATGATTGCCAATGAGACAACTTTTGAAATGAGCCTACATGACAAAATATAGAACCATTCACTGACAAATATGTTATCCTGTTTATATAAGGGAAATTATAAATAATCATTATAATAGTTATTATTATTATCATTGTTATAAGATTTTCAAGATATACAAACGGTAGGATTAATATCAAATAATATCTTCCATCTTGTTTTTTGACCAAAAAGACTTGTCTCTCTTGTCTAAAATTATATGGTTTTAGCATGTTGAGTTTTGTGAGCAATCTAATGCTTGCCTTTTTCATAAAACGAAGATGAAATTTATGCCAAAAAGTGTGGAAAATATGCTCGGCTGTGTGAGTTATGTATCATTATTTATGTTTATTTGTATAAACATTTACATATTTGAGTAATTTATAAATAAACTCTTGGTGAGGGACTTATAACATGTGTAACATCTGTTAAACATTCGAATTTTATCAAGCGTCTATTCTAAATGAAGTTCCTGAATGTGTTTGAAGTGATATTAGAGCTAGATTTACTTTTTTTTTTAATCTATAGTCATGTGTATATATAGATGTTTGTGTATACATTTTTTACCTTTTTTCTAATTTTCAGCTTATACCTTGTTAGATACTATACAAATTCAACCAAGCAAAGGATCATATTCTGCAATAAGGGACCGGGCTTCTTATCATGATTTCCTTTTTAGAGGATTGCTACTCACAAGGCAGCTATTAAACCAAGAGTTCCAAGTGGTGAAGTTGAAATCATCCCTTCGAAAAGTTTACGGACGCCATCACCATGGTTGGCCGTTGTGGAATATCTGTTTCACAGATGAGGCCTGATATGTTCCAATTGTCACCATAATCGCGTTCTCTTTTGTTCGAATGTGATGAACAGAAAGTTAATAAGTTAAATAACCTGTAACATCACCAAACAGTATAACTATAAGTTGCATATTAATTGTGGAAGATATCAAAATTGACAATGAAAAAATAGAATAAAGGCCAACAATGCCATGACTAAAAAACCATACACCAGTCGACAATTCAATAGAAAAACCCAATACTGAACAAGAGGAATACCACAGGTGAAATCCGTCATGTTGCAAGTGAGAAGTAGAAATTCGGTGTAAAGTCTAGTTTGGTGATGTCATAATCGAGAGCGGAGAACGGTAGTGTGGCTTCCACAATTAATATGCAACTAATAGTTATACTGTTTGGTAATGTTACAGGTTCAATCGATATCATAGTACATATGTTTACTTGTCAGCTTTAAAAAATGAGTAACTACGACTTAATTACCATACATGGGTATTTGTAGTTGAATGTTTCTGATTGATTGATGGTTGCTTATTGTCCAATTTCAATTATTTCATGTATGTCCAGAACGAGAACATATTAGCAATAAATACAATTTGTATTCGGGATGAAGGTCAGTGAAAATTTAAGCTGCTCCTGGAAAATGAGGGTATGTTGGATAGGGACAGAAATTGCTTTGCAATAGGCCACCTAAGGTCCCCTCAAAGAGTTGTTACAAGGGTTCTGAACGTGCAGAAAGCATGGCACTCTCTCTACCCGACGCATCGGATTTAACGTCCCCATTCTGACCAGACGCAGCTGCGTACTTGTACATCCCGCACAGCCAAACTTTGGCAAGGGTTTTTACTGCCAGTCGAAAGAAGCCCCATAGAACTTATTTTAAGAAAGAGTTCAATTGACAAATTTATGTGAAAACACACTTATAAACTTGTCTGACATGGGTCTGACCCCCTCAGTTCTAAAGACTGCCTAATGAAGACTCCAATATGACAAACAAGTTCAGGGTTGGGGTTTACAATGTGTTTTAGTTTATTAAATGCATCAATGTTTCATTTCAATATTAATCGATGAAAATTTAACCTAAAGGAAACATTATACAAACAATATGTACTTCCAAAATGTGCTCCTACGTTTAGTTGGTATGCAAAAGCCGTTAATCATTTAGCATTATATTTTCAACAACAGCTGACCACTCATCCAGTATCTTGCGAAATTTACTGCTCCCAGCAAAACCATAACAGTTTATATCATTTTAACTTTTCAAAGCAGCATACTTATCACATTTTCAGCATACTGATCTTGTAAATATATGCTCTTTTTGAGGTTAGCATGGCACATTTAGCTAAATTATGTCAGTTTTTCTAACAGCTGAAATTATGTGGTCTTTTTTGAAGGCTGTACATAGACCTATAGTTGCTCAATTCAACGTCATATGAATAGTGGTCTCATTGGTAATCACAACACGTCTCCTTATTTTATACAATAGTTATGGATATGCACATGTACTACATTTGTATGAACATGTACGTAGTATATTATCTCTATAGGGAAAACATAAAAATGGACTTGTACTGGTAACAGGCAAACGTTCAACTCCAAAGTAATACCTTTTGTTGTCCTCTTAACGCAAGTAAGCGTTAATTTCCTTAATGTACAACCTTGCACAATAATAGGCACTTGCCAGGCTTCTTACAGTAAATAGGTAACACATTCGTGTGACGCGCAGTTTATACTTCGTTTGTGGTGTCCTGGTGTACTGTCGTAAATACATAATGTTCAGTGTTATTCTGCGGTTTACATGTTAACATGTACTATTATATTATTTTTTTTTGTATTTCTCTGTCCTGACATTTCTTGCATTTATTTGTCTTGTAATGTTCGTCATTTTAGTGGTATTTTTAACATTGCCATATAGGCGGGAGGTTTGGTTAGCCATAAAACCAGGTTCAATCCACCATTTGTTCTCAAAAAGTCATGTACCAATTCAGAAATATGTCAGTTGTTATCAAATAGTCCATTTCTATGCTTTCAACAATGTGTCCTTGGGGAGGAAGATTTTATAAGAAACTTTGTTGTCAATGACATGTTCTTGACATCTATTGACGAAAATGCTACACTGGAGACACTTGTCGAAATAAACAGCAAGGCTAACTCGTGGAAATATCTACGACAAATTCTCTCACCTATAGATAAAACAAAGAATTTCAAGATGTACAAACAGTAGGACTAATATCAAATAAAGGCAACAGTAGTATACCGGTGTTCAAAAGTCATAAATCGATTGAGAGAAAACAAATCCGGGTTACAAACTAGAAGCGAGGGAAACACATCTATAAGAGGACCACAACATGAACACTGAAGTGCAACAAAAACAAACGCCAAAATACAAAGCAACGAACTATTTGAAAACAACTGCCATATTCCTGACTTGGTACAGGACATTTTAAGAAAAAATGGTGGGTTGACCATGATTTAATGGCTAGCCAAACCTCCCGATTTATGACAATGTTAAAAAATATTGTAACGCCGTAGGGTTATGTTTAGTTCTTGTGTACCTCTAACTGCAATAAAACCCCTATAGCTACCTCAATAACCAATCAGCCAACCATATGTTGATTTCTACGGGAAACGTCAAATTTCCGTTTCCTACCTAAACAGATATTTGTCAATATGTCTTTATTCCGCATTTACTTCGCCGTAAAACCTGTATAATTATATTCAAGACATTGAGAGGCATTGAAGCATCACGCGTTTATCATGATACGAGTTTTATAAGTGGAGAACCGCATGAAAAGGCTATGAATATTGTACACGTGTCGTCTACAATTAGATCAGAACAACGTCAATTTTTTTATCAACTTTAGACAACATATTTCTATATTCAGACATCGCCGTATTTTTAAATTGTTATGAAGTTATTTTGTGGATTATGCGGGTTCTATGGACTATTCTTATAAGCTGGAAAGACTTGTCTAAGCTAAGCACAACTATTACCCCAGCAAACACACAACATTTTAAAAACATTTTTTAAATGTCATATGGACATCTCTCACAAAATATTTCAATAAGATATCATTTAAACATAAAAAAAATGTTTATTTTATTGTTTTTGAAATGTTTTATTTCTTACATTTAAGTAAAATGTTTTACAACATTAACTAAATATTATTTGCTAATATCTTTTATTCATGTTCTCAAACATTGTTCTAAAATATCCTGTAGATATTTTATAATATAAAAAAATAATATTTTCTTCAATTGGTATTTTATATTTTAACAACATTTAAAGTAAATATTTTCCAAATATCCAAAAAACATTTTGCAAAAAAATGTTTTACAGAAAATGTAGTTTTGCTATTTGCATAAAATGTTTTATAACGTAAAATTAAAATGTTTTACATAAAACATCTGAAAAATATCAGCTAAATGTTTTCTATAAAATATTCTGACATACACATTACTTAATAGTCTTACTGATATTTTATTCAACATTTTACGGATATAAAAATAACATTTTATTTAAACTTTATTCATAACCCCACAAACAACGTTTTGTGGAATTAGCTCGGTTTTTTTAGGATAAGATATAGTACTACATTTCATCAATATCATGACAAGCAAGATACTATGGTTGAATCCTTAACTGATATCTTGAAGATCCTTGAAGTCAGATTTTATTCCTTCTTATATTAAAATTCAAAAGAGTCAACATTAAATTAAGCAATAATGTATTAATAAACAATCACCTTTCTTTAATATTTATTCATTTCGTTCGTGTATATTTTAGAAATTAAAAAATGAAAACTGTAACTGTACTAGTTTCAATTTTCGTATCGTTTATATGCCTTACGGAAAACCGACCATTTCCGGAATCGACTTTTGTTTTATCACCGGAAATGAGTTTGAAATTTGAATTTCGAAACGAAGACAGGATATCAACAAAGAGAGCCAAGAAAATTGTTTGCTACGCGATATATACTCACTTGGTAAGAATGATTAATCTGTTAAGATGAAACTTGTGCATTCATTGTGTGTGTTCAATCATAATCGGAACCAAATTACATCTGTTTCTGGAGGTGCGGATCAAGGTTTTGAAAAAAGGGGGGCCCCTGCCCAAGGCAAGCAAACGTTTGGAGTGATACTTGTAAATAGTCTTATACATTTATCTTATAAGTAGCTCCATAAGGGGGTCGGGGCCCCTAAATCCGCCACTGTTCAAGCATCTACGTACACCAATTATGAATTTGTTCATTGATATAAAAAAATTATAAGAATACGTGGTTTGTGTGTTTGATTGCCAATACACCTTATCGCTATTTGTCCGCCATTACTGGCCATGGACATCACAAAAGTTCCCATAAAATATTGACATCATATTAGAAAATATTTGACACCACAATTGAAGTAATACACCTTATCGCTATTTGTCCGCCATTACTGGACATCACACAACTGTCACAAGTTCCCTTAAAATTTTGACGTCATCCTAAAAAATATCTGATGCCACAATGGAAAAGTGATTGTTGTTTGACGTCAAAAGTTCAAGCAGGATAGATTCTCGGGTCAAGCGGGAATAGCGATAAGGTGTATTATTGTATGACGTATGCTGACGTAAAAAGTTCAAGCAGGACAGATTTCCAAATACTGAAATAGAGATAAGGTGTATGAGACAGCTATCCACCAGAATTTAAATGACTTGGATAAAAGAAATTTATAGGTCACTGTACGGCTTTCAAAACTGAGAAAACCAATGCCATATAGTCCACTTTGAAGCCTTGACAAACAAATTTTTCTCAACACAATTGAAACAAAACAACTAACTGCCTACATTAAATACACATTATGAAAAAGAAATTTGACAGACTTAAACCAACAACAACTATTGCAATAAGCATGACTCAATACCTTGTTTCCGAGGCACACAAACAAGTTACAATAACACTAATATAAGCACCATTTGAATATGGAGATTTTTTTTCTAGTAAAATCAGTGTATGTATGTATTTGCAAAACAGTAAATTAAATTTCCCTTAACAGCTTAATGAACATTACAAAGACTATGTAAGACTTCAGTACAAGCAAGATAATATAAACTGTTGCTTAAAATTATATTTATTGCTTCATACACACAATGTACATACAATGCATCTTTTATTTTTTAACAGGAGCTAAAAGAAAAGCCACAAAGGTCAAGTTCAATATGCAGGTTTACAATTTGGAAGTGGCGCAGGTTCTTTGGAATGTCTACAACCTTTCAGGAGAATTTTTTTTTGAAGTAAGATTTTCATACAGAATTACTGTTATTCCATATTTAATGCAAATATTTAGCCTAAACAATGCATTACATTCAAGATTTAGGGCATACAATACAGAAAAGATATCTGGATATTTGAATAAATTATTTTTTTTTGTGACAAAATAGAAACAAGTTGTTTATTTAAATCAATCTTTTAGTCCAACAGTGTGCTTTCATAAACAACATATTTGCTTTCCTTTGAAGTATTTCAAATACATATAAACAACTCATTTAATGACATCTGTGTGTTTCTCGGAAGTTAAGTTATATTATTATCATCATTGCGAAAACAATGCATAACACTTCGATAAGTTATTATGTGCCTATAGTATACTTCTAGGACTGTATCATATGCCCTTAGATACAAATGACAAGTTATAAACTATGTCACTCTACAGAGTTTAACACTTAAAAGGGACAATAAGATTTTTAATGACATTATGTAGCAGGGATTTTAAAGGCCTCTACATGATACAATGCATTTATTAAAAACTAAAAAAAAACAAGAAAAACAACAGCCTGATTTATACAAAACAATAAAAGAAAAAAAATATGATAGACAACAATCAACGAGTATAATAGAATAAGACTCTTGACTGGACACATATCTAGTCTAAAGTTTTTTATGTGTTTTTTTATTAATAACTAAATGAAGTTCAGCGTGGCATATTGCTCTCTCTTAACACGGTCAGCCATTTATCGTCCCCTTCCGACAGACTATCATCGTTATTTGTTTCAAAACTTTAAAGGGGAGGGGATGTATATCCTTCAGGCAACGTGAATCGTTCTATAATAAAGGAATGTGCAAGAAGTTTATATATGAATGTAAGATTATTTTTTTTTTCAGAAGCATGGCACAGCAAGAAAAAGATATAAGACACTACAAGACATTCCAAGTGATTCTGAATAAGACAATTGATTGACTTTTTCAATGTATTCTTAAATAAATCAAATAGTTGATGTAAAATGGTGTTTTGTTCTCATCTCGTCAGCCAATTATCAATGATAATTAACTTAAGATGTAACCCTATTAGAAGTGTAGCGTTTTAGTTTAGAAAGAGAAGTTGTACAGTGTTGTATTGAAAAATCTGAATTTGGGACACAAGTTTTAGTCAATGTAACTTGAACTTAAAAATGTGTATAATGTTTGCATAATGTCCAATGGCATATATGTCATGAATGTTCAGGTTGACATATGCATGATGTGTATAAGATAGGTAAAAAAAGTTTAGAGTGAAAAAATAAACATTATACCATTGTGGTTGGAATGTGGGCTTTCTTGCACTGTCTGTCGTCTATCCACCTATATTTGTCGGATTTTGTCCAACAAATATTTTCATCACTGTTTTTCCCAAAACTTCTGATAAAGATGAGTTCATATTTAATGAGCTGCTTGATAGTGATGAACTGTGATGTGTGAACATTTTTGTATCTGGCACCTGTTTCCTGTTTGCTTATACATTGTATTTCAAAATGTTGAATGTTCTCAAATTTTTAATTACTTTAATTAGTAATGCTGATGAACAGAATGACTTCATATTTGGTAAGTGGCTTGACCATGATGAGTTGTGTCTGCCATTTTGGATGTGTCAAAATTTGTAGATACTTCTTGTTTTTAGAGACTTTGAATTGTGAATTTCATATGCTTAGCAAAACAACTGATTTATTCTTGTTTGTATATAGAATTAATCACTGTGTATAAATTAATTTAACTAATGATTTGTTATTTAAAAAAGCGGACTCAATCAAAAGTACAGAAATTTTTATATTGATATGATCTAGATATCAACCAAAAACATCTTCTTAAAACATTTTGAAAACATTTTTTAGGCACAGTCTCACTTGCAAGAAAACATCCCAAAAACATTTTTATAACATTATTTGATGTTCATGATGTTTTTCAAACGTTCAGAAAATATTTCTAGAAAATATTTTTTAAAAGATTATCAAAATGTTTTATACTCCATTGTTTTTCACATGATCATGATATTTCTTTACAACATTTTAATTATATTATGCAAATATTTTAGAAAATATATTAGAAAACGTTTTAGCGATATATATTCTACCATACATTTAATGTTTTTCTCACGTTTTTTTGTGATATTTTCATGACATTAGACACAACATTTTAAAAACATTTTAAAGATGTTTTTGTGTTTGCTGGGACGGCCTCTAGACTATCTGCCATTGTTCTAGAAAGTGTTTGTTTACGTCACATTCCAAAGACTGACAATGACATATACGTGTGTAAAATTACACAACACATCTTTATACGTTATAGTTTTGTAACAAAACAGTTTTTTACCATGAATTTCTTCAACTGCAACCATATATATATATATATGTATATATTAATTCAAATTCTTATTAACTTTGAGTCTTACGTCTCATCGTGTGACGAAAATAAACACAAACAACCTCCCTGTCCTAGTGTGTGTGTGTTTTTTTTTATCTTTTCTACACAAGATGTTTTATTAGAACTCTACAGGGTCCTTGTTTCATGTGTACGTTATTTTAATTATACGTATTCAGCACAAGGTACATGACCGTGACATTGCAATTATAAGTATTCAGCACAATGTACATGACCGGACATTGCCCCGTCAACATTTGGCACCCAAATAGTTGTACAACTGGATAGTAGGTTAATTAACTATTTTTGAGGGAATATGCAATAATTTAGGTTATGGATTTGTATATCTATGTTTAAATACATTCCTGAGTGAAAGTGGCTTTGTATTAATTATTAGAAGTCTTTATGAAAAGCATCTTTACACCGCAAGAACTTCATACAACAGTTTATTACAAAGGAAACAAGATTACTCGGAGGTCTATTTTATGATGGTCCAGACTACAGTTCGAAAATTATAAAAGACAAATACTTAGTAATCTTTTTAAAGCTTTATATTCCATATAGTACTAATAATGTACATCTTAGTATTCATTATATCTGATCTTATTGTTTGTTTCAAAGACAAAGTTGTTAAAGTTGTTCAATTCTCTGTACTACCTGCTTTTTAAGCTCATTCAGCTGGTGGAAGTTGGCTTCTAGCAGCATCTCCTCCAGGTACCGCCTGTCCTTGGGCAGGATATTTCTTGAGAAGTTCTTTCTATTCCTTAAATAATTTAACACCATCTTGAAAAGTGTAGGGTCCCTATCCAGGAATATCGGACCCTCGGGTAGAGTTTCCTGGCATAGGGCCAAAAACAACGACCGGGTACGACGGATAGCGTCTCTTTTGATGTCTCAAACTTAGTTCCTCCAATGTTCAAAACAATCTTATTGTCTTGTGCTTGGCGGACCTGCTGGATTGTTTTCTACATACCGTCTGTTACAGATAAGATTGGTTCTAACGGGACCAACCCTGGTACATTTGCCGGAGGGGAAACGCCCCCTTCTCCAGCATGAATTTACAACTCTGAGTTGTCCGACGAGCTACTGCTCGATGAAGAGCTTGACGACAATGACTGGTGATCCACTACTTGTCTGTCCAGTGCTTTGTAACTACGGATCGTACCGTCGCACGGGCTCATCCCGTCTTCTTCTAACTGAGGACCTACTAATTCTTCTGTTGTCCCGACGTTCAACACTTCTTATAGGGGAACGACCCATTCTTACGGAAACAAATGGCCTGATCTTCCTCTTAGGTGGTGTTCTGACTTGTATGTTAACCACTTCAATATTCTGTTGGACCTGTTTGTCTTTGAATTTAGTATATTCGTCGCGTATCTTCAATCCTGTTTCCCCAGTCTGTTTATTGATGAGTACCTGGTTTGAGTTCCCCGCTTCGCAAGCGCCATGTCTTGGTGTCCTCTTTTAAAAGATTTTCTTGCACAATGTGCATTTGAAGCCGTACGGGCTGTGCAGTTCCATTATGCGTTTTTCTATCTGCCACCGAAAAGAAAATTCTCTGTCTACACATAGTTTACAAACTAGTATCTAATTCTCTTTTGTTACACTCATGTTGATAGTATGGACGTTTAATCAGTACTGATTTGACCTTCCTGTTAACGCTAATTATGACGTCACATTTTGGTCGATTACCTTGAACTTGCCCTTATCATGTAGTTGATCACAAGTGATGTTAATCAAGGATGAAGTGAGGCCACAAAAAGGTTATAAATAAAAAAAATATGGATTTACATTTTGCGTTTGTTCTCCCTCTGTATTTGTTTTATTTTAAACAAATTCCCACCAAATTTTTTTTCTTGGTTATCTGTCGGACATCTTTTGGTTGGTGATATAGGAATTTTGCGGAATTTCAACCAATACTAATACTATAAATGTATATCTACAACTACTCCGCATACCACGTATTTTAATATAGAAAGAATGATTTTTATCGTACGTTAAAAAAAATAATAAATTATGCACAATAATGAACCACAAAAATAAATCCAATAATTTACGGTAACTTACAGACATTTTATTTGTATTTGGGAGATTACATAAATATAGCGTTTACGTAATTTTAAACCATGGTGGTTTCTCTTTTCCGTTATACCTTTTCAAACGATTATGGTGTTTAACTCCTGGTTTGTTCTTTAGACCTTTTCGTTCAATCTCTTGATTGCAATAAACGGACCATTCCATGGTCTATGTAACTTCGGACAAAAACCTACTTTGATTCGAGGTTCGTACAACCACACGGCGTCACCTACCCCGTAGGAAGTTTGATTGACATTTCTGTCAGGACATTTCTTCATTAAATCACTTGATTTATAAATTTGTCGTCTAGCAAAGTTGTGTATAATATCTAATTGTTCTTGTAAATCTTTTGCGTAAGTAGAGTAATTTATGTCGTCATTGCTGTCTTTTTTGGTCTATCTATAAGTCCAGGGGCATCGTAACCTCCCTGCCAAACATCATCTTGCATGGCGACACCCCTGTTGTTGCATGTTCTGAGGATCTATACACCATGATAAGCGGTTGTGAATATTCGTCCCAGTCTTTTTTGTGTGACGATACAAATGCAGAGAGCATATTTTGTATTGTTTTGTTGGCCTTTTCTATCATGCCATTGGACGAAGGATGCATTGATGTGGTTCTTGTTTTCTCAATACCTAGTATTTTACACATCTGCTGAAAAACTTCAGATTCAAAACACGAGCCCTGGTCCAAATGTATTTGTAATGGTACTCCTACAATACTTATGAAGTGATCAATAAGTTTACGCGTGACAGTTATTGCATCTATGTCTTCATTGCTATTGCCTGGGTCCACTTTGTAAAGTAATCGCCTATGACCATTATGTATTTGTTGGCCTTCTTTGTTTGCGGTAAGGGTCCCATTATGTCAATAGCAACCCTCTCTAGTGGTGCGCCTTCATTATATTGTTTCATAGGAGCTTTGGCCCTTCGTTGTGGCGTCTTTTTACATGCGCAAAAGTCTTACACCATTGTCCCACGTCGGACCAATACCATTACCAATAAAATCTGTTTGTTACTCGTGTCAATGATTCCTTTTTCGCTAACAGTATGTCCTAGAAAAGTTACTTCTTTTCGGAGGAGATGACATTACTTTGGACTCAACTTTAAGTTGGCTTCTCCCAATCTGTTGAATACTTGGTCAAGATGATCTATATGTTCATCAAATGTCTTGCTAAAAATGATAATGTCGTCTAAATATAGTAAACATATTTTCCAAGACAGTCCTGCCAATACTTTACGTTAATCTCTCGAACGTAGCCCCATTATTACATAGTTCAAACGGCATGACTTTAAACTGCCAAAACCACCCACCTTCTATTGCGAATGCGGTCTTATGTTAATCTTCTTTAGCTACACTCACTTGCCAGTAACCACTCTTCAAATCACAAGTACTCAGCCATCGACAGCCACTCAGAGCTGCCAATGAATCGTCTATTCTCGGCAATGGCTGACAATTTTTAAAATCGCAACAGAGCCTAATAGTACCATCCTTCTTGGTTACCATTACGATTGGTGCACACCAAACACTACTTG